GCGTTACAGGTCGAGCAGGGCATGCTAACACAGTTCGCGAACACCTGGTGCCATCACCGATTTTCAGTGACCAATTCATATTATTTTCATCAATATTTTGCCTTTTACGTTCAGGAGAATCTGTTTCCGCAGGAAATAAAGACTGGCATTTTGAATTCACTCCAGTAAGGGCAAAATCCCAAGGATTACATTGATTAACGACCACATTAACGACGTCTCACTGTATACGAACGTTCACCTTCAGTACCCCAGGTGAAACCCCATGTCAATCACATCACCGCTTTATTCATGATGGAAATGAATTAGACATACGAATAATGCAAACCGGATTATCGATATCGATTTTGTTATCCTCAAATAGTTGTTGCAATTGAATCGTTGGTCTAGGATTAAGTATGTATGCATGCATGCATATACATACGTATCAGCCTGGCTCGTGGCACGTGCTGTTGACGGCCCCATTCTAAATGACTGATAAGTATATTTCTATTCTGCGTTATCAATAATGTTCACTTCCTTTGTTTCCTCCTATCCTGGTTGTTATCAGCAACAGCGGAAAACACAATGATTATTATTTACAGGTCGCTACTGCATATGGAATTGTAAATTAAGAGATTAACGGATGTACAATAATATAGATGTACTAATATATGGATGTTGAACACATTTATCAAAGGGTAACCATACTGTTTTCCTTTCTAGAATGTGATTTCATCAGGTTTACGGGTAGAGATCGTTGAGAGAATATTGCTCACATATGCTTTACGGGTAGAGATTGTAGATAGATTGTTGTTCATACATGGTTTACAGGTAGAGATTGTAGATAGATTGTTGTTCATATATAGTTTACGGGTAGAGATTGTAGATAGATTGTTGTTCATACATGGTTTACAGGTAGAGATTGTAGATAGATTGTTGTTCATATATAGTTTACGGGTAGAGATTGTAGATAGATTGTTGTTCATACATGGTTTACAGGTAGAGATTGTAGATAGATTGTTGTTCATATATAGTTTACGGGTAGAGATTGTAGATAGATTGTTGTTCATATATGGTTTACGGGTAGAGATCGAAGAGAGAATATTGTTCACATATGGTTTACATGTAGAGATCGAAGAGAGAATATTGCTCACATATGGTTTACATGTAGAGATCGAAGAGAGAATATTGTTCATATATGGTTTACATGTAGAGATTGTAGATAGATTGTTGTTCATATATAGTTTACAGGTTGAGATTGTAGATAGATTGTTGTTCATATATAGTTTACAGGTAGACATCATGCTTAATAGCTCGAAATGTCTTCACGTTTAGATTACTGGTAGACGGTAGATTACTGGCAGAAATGTCTCTCACGAATCATCTACAGCCAAAAGATAACACTATAGTCTCTAACCATAACCAGGATCTCGCAGGTGACTTTGGTTCAACGCCGCTTTGAAATCAGTTCAGTTAAGACCACCCCCTTTGGTCGAGAGGGGTGGACAGACGCGTCATTCCAAAAGACGTTAAAAATGGTACTTGTTGTCATGCTGCCTGGCACTCGGCATTAAGGGGCTAAAACAAAGACTTTCGGCTCGGTGTCAGTGTACTGTGTTTGACTGGGGTATTCATGTTAAACTGCGGCATGGTATCTCAGTGGGCTAGCATTAGCCCGGTGATTACAAGCAGACACACACACGTGCATGCACGTCGCTATATAAGTGAATAATCTTGGACGCGACGTTAAACCCAATTTCACCTCACCACAAAGATTAAAAGAAATCGGTTTTAATGATATGTTGAAATAACCAAAAGTAACTACCCAGGTGGTCGTTCTTTAGTGGTAGTAGGGATATGAAGGGTGCAGTGCACTGAGACCAGTTCCATGGCTCTACTATTCTACTCCATACAGTTTCTCCAAACAGCGGAAATATTTGAATGATTGTAATATTGCTGCGACGTTAACCAGCAAAGAAACAGAAGCTGTGATGCAAGTACGGTATATAATACCACATATGTCATGAATAAATAGAACCATATTTCTCAGGATAAATATGATTCTGGGAATAATTTAGGAAAAAGGGAACTGACAACTGAAAAATAAATTACTTAAATTGTTTTATCTTGCATATAAACCCCCCATCTGCATATATAATAGCGTGATAGCGTAAGATGTTGTCATCCCTGGATACAAAACAAGAAACTAATTCATAGAATTCTTCACGAGTCGATGAAAATTTATGATAATGACACAAGGTGTTCAAGAAAGGCGCGAGGATATTATACGTTGACGTCCAGAAGTCCAACTGACGGTTATTTTTGACTGTGACAATATCATTTCTACCTTTGAAACCAACAAGGACTGGTCGGAGTCAGTATTGCGAGTCTTATCGGGGTATTCCTATTAAACTGAGGCATGGTATCTCAATGGGCTAGCACATTTAAACCGGTATCAGTCCGGACTAGTACACACACGCGCGCGCGCACACACACACACACACGCACGCACGCAAGCAAGCACGCACAAGTACGCACGCACGCACGCACGCACGCACGCACATCCATATACACATAACATATCAGGTACAATACGTGCTTAAATACAACCGTTGAACCAGACAGAATTACACATATGTATGGCAACAGTCTGGATATGCGCTAGGATTCAATACACCGGAGTCAGCTGTGTTGAAGGATGGCGACACATATCGAAATGCGGACAACAGGCAGACAGGTGGTTGGATAGATGAGAAGCGATATTGACATATGCATCAACGCTCCGATTACAATGATTGCCCTACGGATAAAAACGAATGCACTCCGGGCAAAACGAAAGAACTTCGGATTATAAAGATTGACTTGCAAGTTATAATGAATAAACTTCGGGCTAAATGAGTAAATTCGGATTAAAACAATTTAATTTGGGTTAAAGCGAACCAACATTGGGTAATACAATTGAACTTGGGATTTTAATAATTAAACTTCGAATTACAACGGTTGAACTTCGGATTATAACGAATGAATGTCGGATAAAAAGAACTGACATTTAAGAGCCCCTTGAGTTCGTTTTATTGTTAATTACTATAAATACGACCTCATTAATGAAAAAAACGGAGCGTCTTTTGATGCACAAATGCAATTGATGCCTTTTGTACATGAATCATATAGCGAACTTAACAGGCAGCCAGTATTGATGACTTTAGAGAGGCTGATTGTGTAAATGTTATGACACAGTGCCGCCCTTCTTCGTGATAGCATAACCTTGTGGTTTAAATGGTGTAATTATCTAAGCTACATACTGAACCAACAAATGGCAAGGGCCAGTGTATACATAAAATCACCAAAATGTGTATCGATTTCTGGAATTTATGGCCTATTTTATTAATGTGGTCTTATCCCCAGTAAGTCTGCCATACGTTTGGTCGGAACAGTGTGTATTTGATGTTTAAATCAATCATACAGAAGCCATATGGTGTTGACCGACACAGCTATGGATAACCCGATACAAAAGCCATTCGTCACCACTCGTCCCTTTCCGTAACTTTCACGAAGACTCCTCTCCCTATCGAGCAATGACATGTGCGAAAGCGCGACAAAATAGTCAGAATACGGGTATGACTATAATTACTATGGTCAAAGAATATTGTTTGTTTTTAAGTACAGATTGTGTATACAGCTACATCAAAGTGATAATCACAATCATTTCACCATACTGAATAACAAGTTGTTGTCATTGTTGTCAACCGTGTTATGTTTTTAGAAAATATCCACGTAAACATGCAAAGCAAAGGCGGATGTGGGCAAGTTGAGTAATGTCTTCGCTAAGCCCGTTTGCGCAAAGACCAAGTTGATAAAATGACAACGAGTCAGAGTTCGGCTTGACCCGAAATGACACGATTGGTCTCGACGTTTCCCGAAATGACCCGAGTGGTCACGAATGTTAACCAGCTGTTGTAGCGTCCCCGTATCTGTTAATTGCAACATTAAACGCATATTCTGATTGAGATCCGCTGCGGGTAATGAATAGTTATTGCTGTGTTAATCACAGAATATCGATCAACAATTACTGGATGACAATGAAGTATGTCTTTCATCATATTGGAAAATATACAAAGAACTTCATCATCATCATCATCATCATCATCATCATCATCATCATCATCATCGTCGTCGTCGTCAGCGTCAGCGTCATTATCTTCATGAAATTCATCTCAATAGTTTTACTTCATTGTCATCCAATATTTGTCGATCGATATTCTGTGACAATCGTCTTAATAATGGAATAATCCTCATACAATGAAGTAAGAAAATATGAAATGTACTTCACCACCACCATCCCCATCAACACCAACCTCATCATCCCCGTTCTCCATCTCTGAGTCAGTTTTAATACGAATCAATGATGTAGGGTATTTAGTTCCATAGCCAACCCAGCATGGCCATTGTTAACAACTAGTTTATGTTGCCTCCCTAAAAACCACACACGCTTCACCCTACATCAATGTAACACCTGAAGAGTGAAAACCTCAAGACAACACCTAGCGTCTGTGAAACGTGTGATCCTGTCAACAAGTATTTACAAGAAGCGATGTTGTCTGCAATTACACACAATAATACTTGTAACAAATGCCATCAGTCTGCGAAACAATCCTGTTACGTATCAATATGTATATTTGTACATTTAACTATCGTTAGATGTAAAAGCAAAAACATATTCATCCCATCTGTCTTTGAGGAATGAAATATGTACAGATGATAAATATGGTTAAGCAAGTGTAAACTGTCCCCACAATCCCTAAACCCTACATCCTGTGAGGGCTCCCGGTTAGAACAGGTCCCCAGCAACCTAAACTGGATGAACAGGCGACCAAATGGATCGGGTGGTCAGGCCGGTAAAGTGTTGATTCCGTCTCTTTGTGTCCTGACTCAAACGTGTCCAGACGCAGTGATATAGTTTAAATACTGCTCATAGTGGCGTAAACAACAAAAACACATTGTAAACTAACGCGTTTACTTACCTCACAAGTTTATAAGAACCACCTCACATAGTATGTTCCGGGTCATGTCAAGTAAGCGTGCACGTATGTAGGTCTGTTTATCGATCTTCTGTTCACAGGCTATGATCGCAGACATATGAACATACATCACTTGATGGTGCTCGGGGACTCGTGTCTGTCATCGACTCTGCGGCATATAAATGCAAGTTGTGTCTGTGTGATTCCAGTAATCTGGTGGCTATTATGATATTATTATATATTATTATGGTATTATGTGCAACTACGCAATAAAATATGCTGTTGGATGTTGCTGTTGCTGTACACGCCCGTCCAGCTGCAGAGCGTGTTCAATGCAGTGTGCTGTGGTTATCATTTCGATAAATACCGTTAACGAGGTAATTGATTCGTTTTCCTTCGTTAGCTGTTTTAGGAGACAATAATAGTGAGATCAGAGACAGTGTGTATTAATAGACATCAAACACTGTTTATATCCTGGACTCCAAGGTTGTTTGTTTGGTTAAAGAGCGTAAGTTGACTATTGATTTCAGTTATTCAAACGGACAAGCCGTTTAACGTGTGTCAATAATTTCGCATGACGTACAGCTGCATTCAAACGTGAAAACGTTGAAGTATGGCAGTGGAGGCGCAGATCGTCATGACGACAAAACGCGATGATGTACAAATATGGTGACGTATATACTCACATACAGATACGTCAAGTAAGTATGTGCATATAGACATATATAGATATGTCACTAAAATTCTGTACATACAGATACGTCAACAGTGAGTGAGTGAGTAGGTTGGGTTTAACGCCGCTTTTAACAGTATTCCAGTTATATCGCGGCGTGTCAGCTTAATGTGGGAGGAAAGCCCGAAGTGAAGCAGGTCCCCCGGATACGTCAAGAACCTTCTGTACATATAGATACGTCAAATACCCACTGTACATATAGTTACGTCAAGAATCGTCTGTACATATAGATACGTCAAATACCCACTGTACATATAGTTACGTCAAGAATCGTCTGTACATATAGATACGTCAAATACCCACTGTACATATAGTTACGTCAAGAATCGTCTGTACATATAGTTACGTCAAATATCCACTGTACATATAGTTACGTCAAGAATCGTCTGTACATATAGTTACGTCAAATACCCACTGTACATATAGTTACGTCAAGAATCGTCTGTACATATAGTTACGTCAAATACCCAAAGTACATAAAGTTACGTCAAATATCGTCTGTACATATAGATACGTCAAATACCCACTGTACATATAGTTACGTCAAGAATCGTCTGTACATATAGTTACGTCAAATACCCACTGTACATATAGTTACGTCAAGAATCGTCTGTACATATAGATACGTCAAATACCCACTGTACATATAGTTACGTCAAGAATCGTCTGTACATATAGATACGTCAAATACCCACTGTACATATAGTGACGTCAAGAATCGTCTGTACATATAGTTACGTCAAATACCCACTTTACATATAGTTACGTCAAGAATCGTCTGTACATATAGATACGTCAAATACCCACTGTACATATAGTTACGTCAAGAATCGTCTGTACATATAGATACGTCAAATACCCACTGTACATATAGATAGGTCAAGAATCGTCTGTACATATAGATACGTCAAATACCCACTGCACATATAGATACGCCAAGAATCGTCTGTACATATAGTTACGTCAAGAATCGTCTGTACATATAGATACGTCAAATACCCACTGTACATATAGATACGCCAAAAATCGTCTGTACATATAGATACGTCAAATATCCACTGTACATATAGATACGTCAAGAATCGTCTGTACATATAGATACGTCAAATATCCACTGTACATATAGATACGTCAAGAATCGCCTGTACATATAGATACGTCAAGAATCGTCTGTACATATAGATACGTCAAATACCCACTGTACATATAGTTACGTCAAGAATCGTCTGTACATATAGATACGTCAAATATCCACTGTACATATAGATACGTCAAGAATCGCCTGTACATATAGATACGTCAAATACCCACTGTACATATAGATACGCCAAGAATCGTCTGTACATATAGATACGTCGAATATCCACTGTACATATAGATACGTCAAGAATCGCCTGTACATATAGATACGTCAAGAATCGTCTGTACATATAGATACGTCAAATATCCACTGTACATATAGATACGTCAAGAATCGCCTGTACATATAGATACGTCAAATATCCACTGTACATATAGATACGTCAAGAATCGTCTGTACATATAGATACGTCAAGAATCTTTTGTTCTTAACAAATGAAACCTAATGTCTTACAATTGCTGGATACGTCATTTGTTCTCATATCCTCGCATAACCAGTGTCGATGGTAACTCGAGATCGACAATCATCACAGGTTCAACCGTTATGACTTAAACTATTTCCGAATTATTAACACTATTAAAAGTACAGATTCTAGTACTTTTCTGGGGCTGAGCTCCTTCCGGGATTCGAACCCAGGACGGCCAGAGTGAGGCACCTAATCGCCAGCACACAGAGTCAGCGATCTAACCCACTCAGACACCGAGGCTTCCACAAAGTAAAAGTACGACAACTGGTAGTCTAGATCACGTATTTTGTGTACCCCTCTGACAAGGGTAAATTGGCACAGCTCCCATGTCCGAAAGCTACGAATACACAATGCCATTGAGAAAGTGATCAAATGTGACAAATATCATATTTCGGATATCACTTTTTTAGTAAAGTACAGACTGTGCTGGCGATTAGGTGCCTCACTCTGGAAGTGTGGGTTCGAATCCCGGATGGGACTCAACCCAAATAAATACTAGAATCAATACTTGACTAAGAAAGTGTTAACCCAAACATAACAATTGTTACATTTGACCACTTTCTAAATGGCATTGTGTATACATTTTTCATAATTGTTTATGTCAAAGAATACTTTCCCACATTTACTACTAAGCTGGTGCGGTCGGGTAGCCTAGTGGTTAAAGCGTTCTCTCGTCACGCCGAATACCCGGGTTCGAATCCCGACATAGGCACAATGTGTGAAGCCCATTTCTGGTGTTCCCCGTCGTGATTTTGCTGGAATATTGCTAAAAGCGGTGTAAAACCACACTCACTCACTCATTCACTCACGACTAAGATATCCATGAGCAGGTTGTTTTAAATTATTCGGCGTTTTTTCAATTGTATTGAGGTTTTTTTCCCGTGCTACGGGGCTTGGACCTGTCCATTATCAAGTGAGGGGTGGGATTAACTGAGTGCAGTCGAATCACCCCACCTTAACACAATTACTGAAGTCGAACTGACGATAGAAGGCTGCACCACCTAATACAGCCCATGCAAGTTGGCAAGTCTAGATTATCACAGTTTCAGTACGAGAGCTTCTGGGCTCCTTTTCATTATATTGTATTAAGATAATTTAACAACGTTTTTGTCAGAAAAATAACTTTCATTTCAGAGACTAGCAGACGGCGAGAATACTATCGTCTATACTACTCCCACAATATTTTTATTGTTTTACTTTAGTTGATAGGCTCAGTTAATTGAGATGCTTGAAGGATGAGTCTTCACATTCATTAGAAACACGTCAGCGTTAGCTTCAAAACAATCTACCAGGAGGCGCTTTAAAGTGTTCCAGTGCCAGATTGAGCGTGATATCAAGATACGATGAAAATAGGGACCCAAGAAAACAGAATAGGTACAATATATATGTCATGTCGTTAATAAGTTGGAAAATAAGTTTGATATAACTCACTCACTCTAATATACTGTTTTTGGCTTAACAGATCACATACTATCATAGGGTTTAATAAGGTATCACAGACACAAACTGCACCAGAGAGTAAGCTATCGTGATTCACAACCAGGCTTCTCAGCGTATCAATATCATAACCGTAGACTTATCCAGATATCAAAGTCGACGATCGCAAATACGTTGTACGTATAGGATATCAATAATTTTGTCCAGACTTGAGTATCAAATAGAGAAATCCCTGATTAATACTTGCAGACCATTCATCTAACCAATAAATGCTTAAATCAGAGGACAGACAGTTCACGTTTCGAACCAAAAGCCTTGAGGACCTACCACGCAGTCTGTATTAAACGAAACCAACTTTGAAACATTGTATATTTGAACATAAGTTCAATATCACATTTAAAATTTCCTTAAAACATTCATTTACGATATGGAAAGAGTTCTGTCGCTTATATATAATGGAGAGGTATTAAAGTACCATCTGATTTAGGGGTTTACAGTTAAATAAAATGTATATGTTCATTTTATCATCTACCGTTATAATTGAATATAAACCTTCTTAAATTATGTCTGTTCTTTATCAAAAGAGTTTAGGGACTTTTTCATATAAAATAAAACCCCGTTAATCCTGAGGTACCTTCCCAAATAAATTCGTCCGGATAATGAAATGTCCGTATTAATGACTCACTGACACAGAGTCATGGTAGAGCGTAAACAGTAACAGTCCGAAGAGCGGAGGTTTCCATATAAGCGGGGTCCGTACTAACAGAGGATTAACTGTAGTGCATGGGCATTGTGATAAACATCCCAGCCAGAGTTAAAATGTAGAATTCTAGCAGCAGCCTGTAATACAGTGACACCCCTCTAATCCGAACGATGCCGTTGTCATGGACATCGCACGGGTTATTAAATTTTCGGATTAACGAGTCATCGGTTTATGTCGAGTCATGAATACATGTGCTAATGACTCTTAAATTAAAGATAGACGTTGCCAAAGTATTCGTCTGGATAGGGGGTTTCCGGATTGACGATGTCCGGATTAACCGGGTTTTCACTGTATATGAAAAAAGGTGGATCTTTACTCGTGTTATGAACTTGCAGACCGCCGTTGAGCAGTTTGTGCATTACGGCATAAAATATCATTCAGTCTCTCATGAATAATGCAGGATTGTAGTTTCGTGTTATCAAGTCGGAGGAAAGTTCAAATAAATTTTCATTTACCACTTAACTGAGACAGGGTGATGATTAAACACTGATAGAGTATCTTTCCATTTTTAAAAAAAAAAAGAAATATTCTATCGGAGGAAATACCATGTTTCTTTTGCATCCGCGATGCAACTGCATGTCCATTAATTACAGTGTAAGAAGGAAGAGCTTGGGCAAAGATAAGTTAGC